CACAGCACCAGGTTCCTTTCAGCTCCCAATATGCAGACGGACTGGTAGGTGCGCCTCTCTGGGCACATGAATTCCCGCTCATTTTCCAGCGAGTGCTAAGCTACCCCTCCCTTAACTGAGGCCTCAGAGATCACCTCCGCTCTCAGGACGGCCCTGGGGTGCACATCTTGCCTTTGTTCTCCTCCTAGAACCTCTGTCGTCCTGCCGGTGCAGGCTAGCACAGACCGTCCTGAATCACGCGCTTTCACCCCTGCTGGATTTGGCTTCCCAAAGGCAGGCGCCTTTTTTCTCGCGTATCCCTGGCACCCCAATAAATGTTTGCTGCAATGAGGGGGACTAAAGTAGAACAAGCCCTCTCATGCGTGCCTTCCAGTGAAGGGGAGAGCGACACATGTGACTGGTTTGGCTGATGACCCTCTGGGCCCCATTTGTGATGGGGTCGTGGCATGAAATGCTTTCTCCTGGATCCTGAAGGGCCCTCTGTGCAGCTGGCTGGGTAAGCGCGCTCTTAGAGGCTGTGAACTCTGTGATCTGGTGTGTAAATGCAGCTTTCCGCCAGGTGAGCTCCAAGGGGATTTTGTGAGACAGGAGGGGATGAATAGGAAGCTTCCATTTGGCCACAGGCTGTGCCCCTTAACGTTGTACGCTTTGGTGGAAGCCGTAACCTTAGCAGTGATGGTGACTTGTGTGGCCCCTTCATGAAGCAAATGCTTTGCCTGATTTTCCTCTGGCTCCTTGCATCTGTTCTCAGTTGGTAAAGGATCCGGAGTGGAGGAGGGGTGTCATGAGTACACCTGGATCACCCGCGCTGGTGTGTTGTCTGAAACCCCTTGATAAGTTGACCCAAGGAATCCAGTGGGGATGTGAGGGGAGAGCGGGCCGGGGAGGGCACCCAAACGGACAGGCCCTCATTCAGGGCCACAGCCTTCCTGGTCTTGGGAGGGTTTTCCTCAAAGATTGTTCTGGGACAGTAGCTGTTTGGTGGTCTGGCTGGAGGGTGACCTTTCTCATCTCTGAGGTGGGGGATGGAAGAGATCCAGGCCTTAGAGACTTTCCAGAACACTGAGGAATGATATCTCCAATGGTTAGCTTAGGCAGCCGTGTTCTGGTCGTTTTTTTTCCAGTTTGGTTTCACTTTGTATCCATGGGTCAATTGAAGCAAGTCTTTTTCCTTATTTATTTTTTTAACTTTTTAATTTATTTTTTATTTTTCATTTCTGCTGCCAGTTTTTCTATAATGAACATTAAAAAAAAAAAATCTAGAAGCCCTAGCTGTGCGTGTTGGAAGTCTAGAATATTTACAAAAGTCCTGAATACTTGAACCCCGCCGCCCCCACCCCCCAGCAGTTCTAGATAGAATCTCCCCACTGGTACATGACTCTCCGTGCCCTTGGCAAATCACACGTGTAAGGCACTCACTGTGAGTGAAAACTGGCGTGTGTGTGCGCGCATGCGTGCACACACACGCATGCACATTGTTAGCTTTTGTATTTGAAGATGCTATGGATAGAACCCTTGTGTTAATGACCGGGCATGTTTAGGAGTTCCTCACGGAGGTCATGCCTCCTGCTCCAGTGCTCCCTGTGGGTACAGCAGTCACCGTAGGTATAGGAGGAGTTCTAGCTATGGGGGTGGCTGTGGCTACAGCAGTCATAGTAGTTTCAGGAGCCAGTTGTCCCTAGAGCTATGGTCTTGCACGTAGCTATCTACATGGACAGGTCTCTGTACTTAAAGCAAATTGCAGCATGAGATCTGCTCTGCAGGGGAGTTTCTCGAACATCAGAGGGCAACACTAGTCTCTTTGGTATGCAAGTATGGTACATAGTTGTGAACTCAGAAGGCAGGTGGAGATATAAAACATACTGTCCTTGGGGCACCTGGGTGGCTCAGTTGGTGAAGCTTCCGACTTTGGCTCAGGTCATGATGTTATGTCTCATGAGTGTGAGCCCTGTGTCGGGCTCTGTGCTGACAGTGCAGAGCCTGCTGGGGATTCTCTCTGTCCCTCTCTCTCTCTGCACCTCCTCACCCCCCCCCCGGGGGTCGCTGGCTCTCTGTCAAAAAATAAACATTAAAAAAAATTAAAAAAAAATCATCCTATCCTTGAAAATGAAGATCCTGCCAGTGAGCTGTGGAACAGCTTCTGTGAGCTGTCCCTCAAGTTGTGGGACATCATAGGCTTGTCTATTTTTAACATTTTTTATAAATTATATGAAAGTACTTCTTTACTGTTTCACCATCTAGGAAGAATCACCAGTAATACTTTGGGAGTAATATGCTTGCGGTACTTTTTCTGTACATAACAATACATTGGTAAATATTTCTTTTTGTAAAAATGGGACCATGCTACTCTTTTAAAACCAGTTTTTATTCAAGAATATCTTGACTATAAGGGGCACCTGGGTGGCTCAGTCGGTTGGGCGTCTGACTTTGGCTCAGGTCATAATCTCACAGATCATGAATTCGAGCCCCGCGTCTGGCTCTGTGCCGACAGCTCAGAGCCCGGAGCCTGCTTCGGATTCCGTGTCTCCCTCTCTCTCTCTCTCTGGTCCTCCCCTGCTCACACTCTGTCTCTCTCCCTCCGAGATGAATAAACTTAAAAAAATTATTTGTAAAAAAGAATATCTTGAGTATCCTTGTCAGTCATTAAAGAGTACTGTAAAATACCGTGTTAATGATTACGTAATGTTATACCAGAATTTGTTTAACCACTACTTGTTTTGAGAGGGTTTATCCTAGCCAATATACAACTGCCATCATTTGCCAGATAAACTCCTAGATGTTGAATTGCTGGGTCACAGCAAGTGTACACCACTGGGAAGGAAATGGATGCCTGTTTCCTCGTATCCTCACCTCCACTGGATATTCTGGGTTTGAAATCTTTGTAAATTGGATCAGTGTAGAATGCTGTCCTGTTGACATTTGCATGTCTTTGAACGCGAGATCTTCTTAGACACTCTTAGTATATTGTGTCGAATTGCCTCTTCACATTCGGTGCCTGTCTTTTGAATTTTGTTTTCCTGGAGTCTGCATCTTTTCTTATTGATTCGTAAGGGCTCATTTTACATTAAGGATTATTAAGCCCTTCTCATATATTCCAAAAACATCTGAGTTACCGGTTCATTAAGTGATCGGCCTTGGGGTGGTTTCCACTTCTTGGCTTGTATGAATAACGCCGTCCTGTTCACGTTTCGTGTAACATTCTCCTCGCTCACGGTCCTACAGATTGTGAGGTTCAAGTTGCTATGTCCTCGTGACCAAGTACTAATAAGGAGAGGGAGGGGCACACCTGGGTGGCTCAGTTGATTCAGCATCTAGCTCTTGATTTCGGCTCAGGTCGTGATCTCACAGTTCATGAGTTCGAGTCCCACGTTGGCTGTGCTGAGTGTGAAGCCTGCTTGAGATTCTCTCTCTCCCTCTCTCTCTGTCCATCCCCAGCTTGCGTACATGCACACGTGCTCTCTCACATTAAAAATTTGTTTAAATATATCAACCATGTTTAAAAAAACAGGAAAGAAAGACTTGCGGTGAAAGAAAGAATGGCTTGAATTGCTCGGACCTATCTGGAAATCTGGTGATGTGCGCACACCGGTAGAGGACGCCTGGGTGGGGGGCCTGCCCCCACCCTTGACGGTGGTCACCTGCAGCACAGCTGAAGGGCCAGCAGTCACACTCCAGGTCGTCACGAGTGACCTCTCTGGTGACAGGTTAATGCGCAGAGGACCTCGTGTCATCCTTTCTGCTCGGAACTCTCCAGAGGCACTGATTGTGCTTTTGCAAAAGCCAGCTCTCCTTGTGTTGTAGATAACCATTCATGTCCAATCAGGGTTCTTTAAGTCAAGGATTCAGCCCTAAGTGGGAACATAGCAAACCTCACTCTCTTCCCCCCTGCACTCTGTCCAAAATAGGCCTCACTTTCCAGAGCAGTTTTAGGTTCACAGCAAAATTGAGCAGAGTGTGCAGACTTTCCCTGTGCCTCCTCCTCCCCACGGGCTCCCCCGTCACGCACCCACCTCCACGGACACACACGTGTTACAGTCCACGCAGGAACACGTCCCCAGACTCCCGACTGGTGAAGGAAATGCCAGAGTTCGTTGCCTCTAACACCCCAGAGCGGGTTCCCGTAAAAACTCTGGGCTCTGGGGACGCAGCGTCCCTCCATTAACGAGCACTCTGCCCTGAGGAGGGAGGGCTGGAGGAGGTAAGTGTGTGTGTCTGTGGAATTCTGCATGGTGTTGTCACGCCCCCGGGTACAGACGCGTGTGACCAGTACTGGGCCCCGATAAAGACGACTTCTGTCTCCACACGGTCCTCTCCCTCCCTCTCCCCCCACCTTCATCCCTGCCAGTCGCTAATCTGTTCTCCATTCCCATGATATTGCAGAGCCTTTTGAATTTCAAAATACTGGGTGAGAGATTGTCAGTCATCCTTTGCTTGTGTGCCAAGGTAGAGGTGGAAGGCCTTCAAAACGTCAGGGTCATCACATGGTCCTGCAGCCTCTCGCTAGGGTGCTGAATGTGTAGCTAAGAGCTGATTTTTTTTTTTTTTAAGAAACAGATTTATGTAAGCATTGTGTATAATCAGCCCAAGAATAAATACTTCTTACAGGGGTACACGTAGTGCTGTCCCTCAGAATGAGTGTCGTCTGGCATGGGCCCCACTCTGCCACCTGCTGGCAGGTCCCTCCTCTCTGAGCCTCACTGGTTTGCAAAGAATCCTGCGTATGAGGAGCTGGGATCAACACATGCTCCATGCACAGTCACTGTCATTTTACCAAGAAAAAGTCCCGCTTGGCAGCTGGGGCTTTGCAGATGACAGGCCACAGGAAGCAGATCGGGCTACAGTCAGGCAGAAGCCCCGTGGGGATTTATTGGTGGGGGCTCTGTGGCACAGGTGGAAGCAGAAGGGTCAGTGAGTTGGGAACAGGCTGTCCCCCACTCACGGGGGACACAGTGGGGTCACGGGCTCACAGCAGACACTAAGTGCTTTTCTTCTTTCTCCAGGTGATGGTCGGTATGGCAACAATGACGACCCTGAATCCGGTGGGTTTGCGTCCCGAGGTCTGTGTTGGAAAGCCCAAGGACATAGTGCCGGCCTGCCGGCGTCCCGACCTTTCCCCTCAGTGTCCCCTCTGCCGGTGGCAGAGGGATGCAGTGATTTAAAGGAATGAAGCAGGAAAAGCGGGATCCCCAGGGAGGTGGTCCCGTGGCAAGGCTGCCGGCCTGAGACCCAGAGGCCACGGCCACCTTTCAGGCTTCACAAGGTGGACAGCCTTATGGACAATGAAAAGGCCTTGGCAGACGCCTTAGCTGCAAGTGTCTGCACCCTGTCATGCTGGCGTGGGGGTCATGGGCACCTGAACGAGCTTAGCTCAGTGGCTGGAGGAGAGCCAGGGGTCCGAGCCGCGGCACCGCCCCCTCCTTTGCCTCACGCCTGCACCCTCTCCTTTGCCTAGGAATGTCAGCAGAGGCCGGCACAATCGCCGGTGTGGCCAGCGCCCTGGCCATGGCCCTGATCGGCGCGGTCTCCAGCTACATCTCATATCAGCAGAAGAAGTTCTGCTTCAGCATCCAGCGTGAGTGCGGCCACCCCGCGGGGTCTTTCTGGGGAAAGGGGCAGGGACAACACACTCGGGCCCGTTCCGCAGCCCACCCGAGGGAAACTCCCGATGAGGCCTTCCGGCAGGGACAGGTTGAGGCCGGACTGGAGTGTAAGGTGGCCGGATCTCTGGGGGCCGCGCCCGGGGACAGGGATACCATGTCTCACAGAGCTGGACAGAGCCTGGGGTCTGCACTCCACCTCGGGCCTCACCTGCTCGCGCTGCCGGCCGCCTCGGGAGCACAGGGCCGTGGCCTCGGGTGCTCGAGAGCCAGGCTGCTGGGATGTCGAAGGGTTTTACAGGAGCAGGAATGCAAGGGGCAGAACGGAGTGTGGGTTTTGCCCCACTTTAGTGCTAGACGTTCATTTTCTGCTATAGCTCAGCGTGTCTGCGTCGTAAGTCGAATAGCAACCAGCACAACGGTGTCTGCCCAGCCTGCGGGGACCTGTGCTGGGCATGGGGGGGGGGGGGGGGGGAGGGGGGTGCCGGGGAGGGGGAGTGAGAAGAGCATCCTGGCTGCTTTCACAAATACAGCTCTGATGTGTCCCTCCTTACTGAGGGTGTATCTCTAAAACACACGATTTTTAGTTCCAGTGAGAGGGCCTGGTTCAAGCATGGCTTTCCTCTTTTCTGAAGCTTAGGAGCATGTCCTGTGAGGCGGCCTCTGCCCTTAATTGTAGCCTGGGGCCAAGCTTCCCAGCAAATGAACTTGGTCCCCAGAATGCTTAGATGTACATATTGCAGAAGCGTCTACCTGGTTTTCCTCTGGCAATCATATTTGCTTCCCTTGCTCTTGTACAATATTCTTAACCAGGGATACCACATACAGTTACACAGGCTGTGCACAGCAATACTCCTGGGGCACCATTCATGTCTCAGTGCACGACCTGCACAACTGTTCATGGTCGCCCTGCTTGAGATCCTGTTGACCCACCATGGACCCACCAGCGTGGCTGTAAAGTACTGTCCACAGGGAAGTGTCGAGAAGGACTATTGAACTAGAAGCTGGATTGTCCTTAGATGGCTCATATGCCAGGAGATGGCGTGAAGACGTTAGGAAGCAGGTTGGATAAAAGAGAAACTATTTACATTTTTTAATGTTTATTTTTGAAAGCGAAGGGGCAGAGAGGGGGAGACCGAGGATCTGAAGCAGGCTGTGAGCTGTCAGCACAGAACCTCATGTGGGGCTCGAACTCACGAACCGTGAGATCATGACCTGAGCCAAAGTTGGACGCTCAGCCGACTGAGTCACCCAGACACCCCAACGGGGAACCTATCTAAAAGCTGGGCCCATGGTTACAGTATGATCGGCTTCCCAGGCGTTGTGTGCTCCCCACCTACCTGGCGCTCCCCGGCACCAGATGGGGGTCCTCGCGCCACTGGGTCTGAGGGCATCCTTGCTTTATCAGCGAGGAGACAGGGAACAGCATCGGAGGACCGTTGACGGGAAGCACTGTGTCCCACACAGGTGCCAGGAGGTAGGGACAGGAAGGGGGAAAGCAGCAAATAGGCCTCGTGACTGTGCATCCGCATGTCTGTCTTGGGGCTGGGGGGGAGGGGCACCAAGGGCAAGTGCCAGTCTAATTTGGGGACACCTGAAAGCTGTGTGGCAACGCTGCGAGAGGACCCGGGTTTACCGTCTTTGTGAGGGCAGCCTCACTCCATCTCTCAGGCTTCCTCCTTGGCCCCCATGTTCCCCTCACATCAGTGGGCCCCCTGCCCCCCGTGGCTGGTGCCCCCTGTGCACGTCTGCTCTGGGGCTGCCCCTATCCATCGCCACTGCCGTGGCCTCTGCTTGCCCAGGGCCAGGTCTGCCTGTCCTCCATGTGGATGGTCCCGTCAGCCTCCTGCCTGCCCCGATCTCCCCCACGGTCTTCTCTGAGCGGCCAGAGGGGGCAGCTCTGCCTGGACCTCCCATGTTCCCCGCTGACCTCCAGGTCACGGTCCAGCCCCTGAGCTTGGCCACTGAAAGCCTTTCCTGGTTTAGCTCCAGCCACACCGGCAACCTATGCCCCCCACAGCCAAACTCCTGTCCCTGAGTGCTCCGCGCTCCGCTGTCCCCCCTCCTCACCTGGCTGCTCTGATCCTTGGGCCTGGGCACCTTCCCAGGAAACTTGCTTGCCCTGGCAGCCTGTGCCGAGTGCGGCCACGGCGCCCCCCGCCGGCCGGGCGTGGAGCCGGTGGGGCGGAATTGGGCTTGGTTCCTGTGGCAGTGACTGCCCTGCCCCCACCCCCATCACTCTCAGGACTGTGTGCGCCTCGTCCACTGATGTGTCCCTGGCACCGAGGCTGGGCTGGAACTGGGAGCAGCCCATGGATGTTTGTGGAGTAACTAAGCTCCCTGAGAAGCTGGGGGCCAGGACTTGTCATTCCCACCCCTTCCGCCAAGCCTCTACTCACGGTGGCCACGGCCACAGCTGCACGCAGGTCGGGAAAGGCAGAGCAGAAACCGTCCTGCACCCCGTCACCAGGAAGCCCCAGGGAGATGGCGTGTGGCTACTAGGAGAGCCTGTCCCCGTCATGGTTCTCGGGGACCTCCAGCCTCAGCTGCCACCAGAGGGGCCCAAACTTGGGGGACTTTCTGCTTTCTGTCTCTGCCCTCAGTGACAAAGTTACAGTGACAGGGTCAGTGCGTTTCACAGGAGGCCCCTGTGGTCTGTTGCTGGGGGCGAGGTACTCCAGAGTCCTAAGCTTTGTGTCTTGCCTTCAGATGCAGCAGAAGGTCAAGGTAATGACATGCTTTGACTTCATTTTCCTCATCGTCCACCCTCCCCACCCCGCTGTTCTTGCTGTCTACCCTGAGCCCTTCCCTGGCACTCACCGACTTGGCTGTGACCATAACCATCTTTAGCTTGCCCTGGTGTGTGTTGGGAGGGTGCCGGCCAGGGTCTGGCTGCAGGGACGCATGGACTGGTGGGTAGGGGCCCCGTCGGGAACCCAGATGCCCACTGGTGGTCATCGCTGAGGAGCACACCGACAGGGCTTCCCACGGGCAGAAGACAGCTTCCCTGGGTCCCTCACCTGCCTTGTCCCAGATGGTGGCCCAGCCACACCCACCACCGAGCAGTGCCCACATTCCTCCCGGGCCCGTGTGCTGTCTACCTTAAGCTCGGCAAGCACTGGGGCAGGCAGGCAGGGAGCCTGGGTGTAGCCTGGGGCGGCAGCGGGACGGAGACTGGCACCTGCTCAGTCGTGTGGTGGCTGAGAACCATGGCCCAATTTTCCCACGGGCCCTGAGCTCTGCTACGGGCTTCCGGTCCCTGGCTTCTCCTGGGCCACAACAGGGACTCCTGACTCTGCCTAAGTAGCAGCAGGCCGGGGTTCGCTCTGAGTCCCGAGTTCGGGCTCTTGCGCTCACATGGTGCCTCTCAGGGACCCGAGTGATGGCATGTGGCAGATGCTTGGAGAGTCCCCAAACCCCTCATGGAAGTCACTGGGGAGAAAGGCCATAGGACTGACCAGAGCAGCGGTGGGTGGGCCCAGGTTCCTCTGCACTAGGGTGGGGACAGCACGTACCGCTTTGGGCTGGAGGAGCCTGTTGGCCCCGAGCTGCGGGTGTTGCTGGGAAGGCCGGAGGCGGAAGCCCCGTTCAGCCATCTGCCCCTCCACCCTGCATCTGTCAGTCACTCATGTGGCGCTTGGCTCCTTCCCCACCCTCCTGGCCCCTGGGCTGGCATGTGGACCCGTGGGTAGTGCTGACCCTGCCATCCAGTGCCTTCTGTCCTGTCCCTGGTCTCACACGGGGTAGCGCCTGCCCTACGGGGATGGCGGTCAGAGGCCACTGCCCTGTGTCATCTCTGAGGACAATGATGAGAGCCCCTGGGCTTGGTCGGGGGCCCTTTGGTTCTATGTCAGTCACCAACTCTGCCCTTTGCCCTTTGCAGAGGGTCTGAATGCAGACTACGTGAAGGGAGAGAACCTGGAAGCCGTTGTGAGTGAGGAACCCCAAGGTGAGAACTTAGGGCTCATGGTCTCTTGCTGAAGGGCCACTAGTTGGTGGGCCAGGCACTAAGCACAACTTTGCTAGGGAAGCACAGAGGCGTCCGTTTCTAGAATTTCCAGCCAGAGCAGGGGGCTACGGGGTCCCAGGGGTTGCTGTGCTCTGCCCTTGATGAGGCAGTCTCCAGCCTCACGCCACCAGGGGCACAGGGACCACAGCCAGGGCTGTCTGCTGCACGTCAGGGACTTCTGCACACTGTTGGGACCGTGCTCCCTGCCGGCGACAACCGATGCCTCCCACACAAATGCCAACGGAGCTGCGGGGCATCCTTCAAATTAGACCCGTAACTTTTCATCTTGAAAACTGCCACAGGCCCGAGGGAACTCGGCTAAAACACAGCTTCTTATCCCAGCCCTTGGCCCTCCCTGCCTGCCCCTCCTGCACCGAAGCACTTTCTGGGTGCAGGAGCCCCTGGCGATTGGAGGCTTCGTGAGGAGCGGCCAGCCTCTCAAGGCAGATACGTGTCGCAGATACAATGTGCTTGTGAAGACGAGGAGTAGGCGGGGAGCCCGGGGGTGCGTTGTCACTGGAGCTGGAGGCAGCAGTGGGGACAGGCCCGGTGCTGGGTGACGGGGAAAAGTGGCGCACGCTGCTGCTTAGGCCGGGTACCTGGAAGTCCTACACTGACTGGACTCTGTGGTTCCGGAATAAAACAGAGGAAAACAGACTCTATGGTGGCATTCGCTGTAGTAATTTTTATTTGTTTTTATGGTTATTTAGTTAGACAGCTGGGGAGGGACAGAGAGAGGGAGACCGAATCCCGAGCAGGTTCCGTGCTGTCCGTGCGGAGCCCGACACGGGGTTTGATCTCACGAAACCATGAGATCATGACCCAAGCCGCGAGCAAGAGTCGGACACTCAACCAACGGAGCCCCCACGGTGCCCCCCTCGCTGTAGTAATTCTTAAAACAGCGAGCCCTTCACGCGCCTCTACCACTGGCCAGCAAGCCCAGTCGGGAACATTCCCATTTTCCAGATGAGGAAACAGAGGCTGAGCTGTCTACAGGGTTTGCCTAGCTTCCTCCTCCTCTCTGGGGATGGAGGGCGTGCGAGAGGGGAGGCTGGCTAGGAGCGGCTGAGCTGCACCAGCCTCTGGACACAACAGGCCAGGAAGCAGGTTTCCGCCCCGGCAGGGGCTTGATGGTGCATGTGTACCTTCCGTGCGGGGTGGAAATGACGCCCTCCTGACCGCTGCCTTCTCTCCCTAGTGAAATACCTGACGCTGCAAACGCAGTCTGCGGAGCCGCCGCCCCCCGACGCGCCCCGGATCTGAGGGCCCCGCTCCACAGCGGGCGGACATGGTGCCACTGCTTGCGACCGGCTCCTTGTTTCCTTTGGACCCCCAGCTGCCGTACTGCTTCGCTGTCGTCATTGGCTTCTCGTCTTAAGTTTTCCAGAAGAGCTGTGGGTGTGTGTGAGTTTGGCTTCCATGCCAGCCCCGCCACAGGGGCCCTGAAGACGCTCGGTGTGGAATCCGAGAGCCGGCTCTGGCGGAGAGCCAGCACCAGCCTCGGAGTCGCCGGGCCGCCACCCCCCAGGGCCAGCCTGTCCCCGGGCCTGAAGGAGCTGGGGGCTGGGGAGACCGAGATGAGGGAGGGCGGGAGGACCTTTTTGCTCAGGGGATGAGACTGAACCCAGGGTCGTGTGATCCCCCACATGCTGCGTTGACTCAGCGTGGCCCTGGCAGTGGCCTCCAAGTGCTATGCGTAGGGATCCAGCAAGAACCTGGTTTGCTTGGAGCAAACCGGCGAGCATCAGGTAACCACACACACACACACACACACACACACACCACCTAGTGGGGGTCAGGGGGTCCGGGGGCAGGGGGGGGGGGGGAGGGCGACTTTCGGCCCTTCTTTCTGGTCCCAGCGTTTACACTGCTGGGCTCCCAGACAGCTGCTCCAAGTGGTGGCCTTTCATTTCTTGAAGGGCAAACATGCATGTTTGGATAGTCCTACCCTGAGAGTTTAGGAACCTTCTGGACAAGTAGGAAGCTGTGACTCTCGGGTCTAATTCTTGGTGCGGTCTCCCGGCTGATGTGATTAGTTTTTAGGAATTGTTGATGCATTGAAATGAGTGCTCCCCTTCCACTCTGTATTCTCGTTTAAGCCGCAAAAGCTACAGACATCAAGGACGAGCAGCGAAGCTGGAAGCATGCATGTTGTTTGCTTGAAATTGTATTTGACATGGCAGGGGGATGGGGAAAGGGATGTGTCCTTGGTTTACTGAAACCTGGCTGAGTCCGTGTGTCCACTTCCCCTGCCTGGCCTGTTCTGAAGAGCCTTTGGGGTGTTATGCTCACTGCACTAAATACCAGAACCCAGGGCCTGGTCTGTCACCCAGCCCGGAGCTGTCTGGTCTGGGCTAGCTTCCTGGAACGTTCCATTTCGCCCCCATGTGGTCCTGTCCCCAGGAGCTCTGCTGAGGCCGAGCTAAACTGTGGAGCCACCATCCACTGATAATCAGCGTGTCGTGTCCAAAAGCACTTCCAGAAGCATAGGTCGGCAGGAAGGCGGGGTCCTATAGATACGACTGCACACGCCCCCTTTCGCCGCTGACAGCCCCAAGCATCGTATGGGCTGTGTGTTAGCGCCCTGGCGTCGGCTGAGCTGGGATGAGGCGAGTCCAATTTGTAACAAAACGGTCGAATCGGGGCGGGCCCTGCAGGTTGTAGAACACACGCCTCGTGTGCCGGGGTTCGCAGCCGTCATAAAAACACACATGGGATGGTCCTCTGCTGCAGCGCGCATCCCCAGGCTGCCCCGCAGACCCATGTCCGTGCGTGTCCGTGGCCCTGAAAGGCCCCTTCCCCCAGTGCGACCGTGTGCGTGCGAGGCGGGCGTGTGGCACTGAGGAGACCCCTCTGCGTAGAGCCTCAGGGTCGTCGACTTGGCCGGGCTCATCCCTGCCACAGACGGTGAGGGCCGACGGCCCCACCCCTGGCTGGTGCTGGGCAGCTGTAGAGGGTTTCTGGATCCCTGGCCTGCCGCCACCCAGTGTCCTAGGTGGTAGGACTTGGGCAGGGATCAGGGCAGTGCTGGGCGGCTCCCCCAGTCCAGATGGCTGCCCTGCGAGGTCCCCGAGGCATTTCGAAGGAAGAAAAACAAGGCAGTGGCCGTGCGTGGTAAATTCTCTCCCTGCCACGGGGAAGTCCGAGAAGTCAGTCACAGTGGCCCAGAAGGAGGCTGCGTGTGCTGTGCCCCTGCCCCCCGTTGTCAGCTATGACTTAACAGGGAGGCTTCTGTGGCGGCGGAGACCCTGCACTCCGTCACCGCTGTGATGTACAGCCAGTGCTGCGTGCGAGTCCCTTCGCTCACAGCAGCGACTTCAGTTAAGAGACCTGTTTTGCACTCCCTTGTGAGAACGGCCGTACCCCAGCGCCCGGCCCTCCTGGTGACGGGCCGGGCCTGGAAAGTCACTGGGTCATGACTGCAGAGCTTCCGCCCCTTGGGGTGCTGGGCACCGATGCCCGCAGAAGCATTGCCTCTTGGAACTCTAATTGAACGTTGCGTTGACGGCCCCAGGCCCGCCCCAGATGATGTGGAAGCCCGCGGGAACTAGAAGGGCCAGTGGAGAACATGTGACCCGTTTCAGCTTAACCGGGCGGTGGGGGCGCAGTGTGGATGACCGAGCGCTGAGCGCGGGAGGAAGGGCACGTGGCCGCTGGCTGGCGGGGTGCCGTGGGGTCCGCCAAGCTGGGAGTGCCTGTGCACTTTGTCCGAGGAAGAAGAAATGGAGACTGGGTCAGAATCCTCTGTACTTTTTGTGTGCTTGTGTTTCAACGTGAATTGTCAACTGTCTTGTGTTTGCATTAAACAAAATGGAACCTAACAGCTCGTGTCGTGAAGGCACTTCCTTTGTCCAGTGAGGCTTCTTTCTTGAGGGAGTTCGTGATGAGGAGGTGACCTTATTCCCTTCCTCCGCAGCCTGAGGCATTTCTCCAGAAGGTTCGAGTCCTCCCATGTAACCCGTTGGTGAATGGCTTGGTGTCCGGGCTCCTGGGTAGCTCCTCCGGTACCAGGAGCTGGGGCCCGGAGCCGCACAGGGACTTGCCCTGTGCAAGGTCCACTGTCGGGGGTGGTGGTGTCCGGGGCCGCCTGGAGACGGGCGGAGGCCATCTCCACGCTTGCCGTCCTCACAGCCGGCCGGGGTCCGGGGTGGAGGTGTGTGCCGTCGCCTTGCTCATTCTAGCCGTACTGCAGAATGGCTGTTTGGGAGCGACGGTGCCCTTGTCCTAACCCTGTGGCTTGGCTCACAAACAGCACAGCCGGACACTAGAGCTGAGCGCGATGCGGCAGGGGCCGGGTCCTCGCCCGTGTGTGCCGCACCGGCCACATAGTAAACGGCGGCGAGTCCTCGCATGCACACCTTCCAGGTGAGGCTTCGCTGAAGGAGGTCTCCATGGCTGGCGGGGGGCCGGCACAGCAGGCGGCCCTCCCAGCCTTGTGGCTCAAGTGTCACCGCTGGGGACCACAGCTGCGGTGACTGCTGCAGGGGGGACATGGACCCTAGGCCCTTACGAGAAGGGAGACCCGTGGGGGGGCAGCGAAAGGTCCCCAAAAGGCCCCTGTGCCTGCTGTAGACTTGGGGTACAGACCCGGTGCTTCTTGGGAGTCTCCCATTTCTGGCTCTAGGACTCAGGGCCTGGAAAGAGCACCCGGCCCCCTCGGAGTGGCACCTGACTCTGGGGTCCCCGGACCCATGGGGTCAACATTTTCTCAGGCTTATGTGTGAGGAGCGTTTCAGATGTTAAAATCGGAGTACTTACCCAGTTGGGCCAAAACACTCAAGCCGTGAGAGACTGCGTTTATGATTTAGTAAATGAATTAAATCCCGTAAAGGCACTTTATGTCTATTGACTGTGCTTGACACATAAAATAACATGTATTGAAGGTTTTGTCGTTTTCAAGGGAAAAATCGGAATTTAAAAAACCAGACCGCGGAGCAAACATATTATTTTAATTACAGATCGAAATACAGTGCATCAGATGAGGCAAATACGATACTGTACCAGTTTTTAAAAATCGGAACGATAAAGGTTTTACATTCTAGTACACTTAAATAAAAGACAAAAAGAACTGCTTAGGTAACAGTATTCAAGTTGTTTTAGAGTTCTGTGCTAGGTACACTCCAGGAGAACGGTCTGTTCTGCTTCTCAATCGCACAGGTGGGTCTCGGGGTCACCTCCAGGGGAGGGTGGCACCGCCCGCTCCAGAACCCCCACCCCACCCCGGGCCACCCCACCGCTGGCTCAGGGGAGCTCCAGGGAAGCCGAGGGTCACCATGCAGCCGCACGAGCAAGCGGAGCTGGGGAACACACCTGGCAGAGCGGGGGCAGCTGGGGACGATGGCCATGCGGTGGCGAGAACAAAGGAGCCGCAGGGTCTCTATAAAACGAGAAACCTTTCCGACAGGTAGCTGCGGGATGGGGCAGGCTCGCGTGGGCACACACAGCTGGCGGCAGTTAAAGGAAGGGCCGGTGCCGTGGCCCGGGAGGCGAGCACGGGTGTCTGGGGGGAGGACAGGACATTGTGCCATCTCCAGGGCCCCATTCAAATCACGTGCCAGACGTACCACATCAAGTTGGCGTGAGCTTTGTGCGTAAGGGCTTGCCCAGCCCGTGGAAGCGGACGCCTCCTCGTCTAAACGTAAAAAAAGGGCATAGGAAAATAAAGACCGGTTTCTCTTTCTTAAAAATGCCTTCTATGTACACAGCAGTAACTGGTGCAGGAGGCCCCTTGCATGAAGGGGACGGGAGACGTGGTGGCAGCGGTGGGTCCGCCCGCACCCAGTAGTTCAGTTTGAAACGTTTTTCAGGTTGGAGCAAAGAGCTGAAGGAAGCCACGTGGCTGGCACGTGGTCTGGAAGTGAACAGGGGTGCGTTTGAAAATGAAGGATTTACCTTCCAAGGAACTGGAGAGAGACCTGAAGCCCCGCACCCCATGCTCCCTCCACGTCCCGAGCGGCCGGACTGGCGGGCGGTTCACGGGGTAGGTGCAATAGGCGCCGCCACAAACCGCCGGCAGGAGGGGCACGGGTCACAGAACAAAAAGCACTTGACAACGGTGGGAGTGGTCCTAGCCACACAAACGGTCAGTGGCTGAAAGTGCCTTCCAGAATGGGAGGACGTCGGGCCCAAGCCTAGAAGAGCAGAGCACAAGCTGCGGTCCCTCGCCTGGGCCACCGGGCAGGACATCCTTGCCCACTGGAGTCGCCGGAAGTGCCGCCCTCCACACCCCGTCAGACGGAGGTGTGGACGGGGGTGACCGAGTGCGACGGTGACGAGCCCCGCTCGGACGAGGACGAGGCGCGCATGGCCACCTCCCGCTGCAGGTCCTCCACCCGCTTCTGCAGCTCTGCCTTGACGGCCAGCAGCTCCTTGAGATTCTGGTGAATGGGCATCTGGGGAGGAAGAAACCACTGCAGTGAGCGGGCCTGTCCCCAGGCACCAGGTGCCTTGTGCGATCAGCCTGCCACACCATCTGCCAAGTGTCCCCCCACCCTCCCCCCCAGCCAGGGGCGGCAGCTGGTGCACTGCTCGGCTGGTTCAGGGAGGAGCAGTCAACTAAGGACACTGCAGAAAGGCGACCAGTGCCCAGCCCCCCTGCCCTCTGCGGTTTTGCATTTTTATAAATTGCCCTGCTGACTGAATAGTATTAAATCACCACCTTCTACAACCTGAAGTTGTGTTCGTTTTCATCGGTTGCAATAGGCTTAGGCAGCAGCCCCTGGACAGGATGGTGCCGGAAGAGTGGAGCCTCTGGGGGCCCAGCGGCCTCCCTGCACAGGGAGGACAGGCTCTGTGCACAGCACCTCCA